AAAATAAATGATAATATAATAAATAATATATTATCTTATAAAAAACTGGAAAAATAAATAAAATAAATACAATTTTATTTTTATACTTTATTATCTTAGATTATATTATTCTTATATAATTTTAACTGGTGCACTTTAATCTAATTTATTTTTATACTTTATTATCATATATTTTTTTTTACCATTTTTTATAATTTATTATCTTATATTATACTATTTTTACTTAATTTTAACTTGTGTACTTTAGTCGTTTTTATTTTTCAATTTAATTTATCATTATTATTTTTATTTCCAAATTTATATAATTAGTTTTATTTTAAGAAATAGTAAATATAATAATTTATTTTAATTTAAATGCACTGTACTATAATAATATATCTTATTTTATTTTAATTTGTTTTTTATCTAATATTATATAATTTATTTTATTATATTTTAATTATTTTATATATTATTAATATAATTTACATTATTATTAAAATTTTAATTGTATTTATTAATACGTAGTGTCCATATATATTAATTTCTATTAAATCTAACATTTAACTTGGATTGGTGTGGTGGTTATGGTGCCATAATGCAACCTAGAGTTCACGAGTTCAAATGCCATATCAGCAGAAGCAATCATGTCAGCAGGGAAAGCTCAAAATTAGCCCGGTGCATACAATTGCCAAAATTTGTAAAAGTAGTGTATATATTTGCCAACTTAAAATTGATGCATATAATTGTAAATTTCGAAAAGGTCATGATTTTAGTTGCAATTAAGTCTAGTTTTTACTTGTGTTGTCTACCTAGTTATACACTAAATTGGCAATGTAACATTTCTCATTTTGGCAATTATTTTACATAATTTCCACCCTTTCCTTCCTCGTCTCCGTGTTAAAATCCCTCAACCAAACATAGACTAAGGTCCCCACATAGGCCATAGCTTACTCTAATCCATTTTCCACTATATAATACACTTCCAGCTGCAAAACCCTATCAGTGAGCTCAATCTTAACACATTTTTCATTAGGCCCTCTACCAAATCGAAAAGCCACAGCTCCATGGCGGCGGCTGCCCCTACCAATTTCTCCACCTCCGCTACGGCCTCCTCATCCAAAGCCTTAACACATCCTGCTCGAGCGCCGGCAAGATCCTTGAGCTTCCTATCATCCTCCTTTTCTCCTAAGCTGCTGTGGGTTGCCGCTGGTTCCCGCGCCGCTCCCGCCTCTGGATCTGCTATGGCGGTTCGCATGGTGTCGACCCCCACCATCAAGTCCCCGGCATCCCTGGATTTCGACACATCTGTGTTCACAAAGGAGAAAATCAACCTAGCCGGTCACGATGAGGTATACATGGTGTCCCATTAAATGCTTGCGTTGATGTGATTGCTATTGTTCAACAGTGTCTTTAGGCTGTCAACGATCTTTATGGATGAAAATGTCATTACATTCATGAATTTTGATACAATTATGATTTATTAAGCTTAAGCACAAAACCTGATCTTAGCTTACTTTACTGTTCACGAAGGTTTGAAAGTTTGTATATTAGACTGCTCCGTTTGGTGGTTAAATGTTGTTGATGCTCTGTAATTTCTTTGATTGTTTTAGCTATGCTTGAGTTGTCATTTACTTTGTTGCTTATTGTTACTGGATACTTACTTTTCAAGACTGCATGATGAGAATGTCTATGGTTTTGGATAAAATGTTTCATGTTACCCGTGAAAGATGACAGTGTTGGGGTGTTTAGTGAGAAATTGTGACAAATCAACTGGAAAAAACTGTGTCTTCCTTTCATATTTCTAGTAATTCGTAGGTTATTTGGAGTTTTATGTAATAGTGCTATTTGTCTTGTATGCAGTTCATTGTAAGAGGAGGAAGAAACTTGTTTAAAATGTTGCCAGATGCGTTCAAGGGTATAAAGCAGATTGGAGTGATCGGTTGGGGCTCACAGGTAACTCATTTCTTGCCTCCCTTAATAAAATAGTTGGTGCTTGTTGAGATCCTTAATTGGCTTTGAATGTTTCACACTTTCATTAATTGTTAATTGATGTGTTTTTATACACTTGTTGGGTTGAATTGGATATGCTTATTGCTTGACATCATTAAACCAGAGTTTCTATCTGGGATGATAATTTTTAGTAGACCCATCATAGGTTGATTGAGTATGTATGGATGCTGATGTACTAATTTACTAGTCCATGATTGCACGACACAACAAGTACTCAATCTAATGCTCAGTAAATCTCATCATGTCTGTGGTGGAACTCATGTTACTGTTAGAAATAGATTATCGAGTTCGAGGTAGTGTCCTTGTGGTTGATAATTATTATGATATTGTCTTGTCTTGGCATTCTGTCTGAAGCACAGTATTGTTTTTCAAAATATTTTGCATTTTCCGGCTAAAAGCTATTATAGTTTGTTGAAAAAATAACAATCATCTGCCTGCACACTAACTAATTCCTCAAGATATGTTTATTTATTGACTGTCCTGACGACGTAAGTTCTTTTTATTTTTCCCTTTTTTGTTCATTTCTTTGTGGTGCGTAGGGACCTGCACAAGCTCAGAATTTAAGAGATTCCCTTGCTGAAGCAAAATCTGAGATTGTGGTCAAGGTAAATGTTGGCTTCATCAATTGCAGCTAATGTGATATGGGTGTGGAGGCAATGTCGTGACAAATTTTAAACTTATATGAAATACATCATTTTTGCTGTCTTTTCCCCTGTATGCAGATTGGTTTGAGGAGAGGTTCTAGTTCATTTGCTGAGGCCCGTGCTGCTGGTTTTACTGAAGAAAATGGGACCCTAGGAGACATATGGGAGACTGTTTCCAGCAGTGATTTGGTGCTGCTTTTGATATCAGATGCCGCTCAGGTACTCTATTATGCTACATAAGAGAAATGGAAGTTATATTCTCTGCATTGCAACACATCTAGCTACCTGAATGATTTTAATGAAACTATTTTCTTCATAATGTGGCTTACTCTTTGAAGACTTATTTGGTTGTATGAGTACAATCTGCTACAAGTGCAGTCTTTTTGCATTGTGGAGACATCTTAATTTTAGCTTGCCCATGCTTGTAGGCTGATAACTACGAGAAGGTGTTCTCTCACATGAAACCAAATAGCATACTTGGACTTTCCCATGGGTTCCTGTTAGGTCATTTGCAATCAATGGGTCTTGACTTCCCCAAAAACATCAGTGTCATAGCTGTATGCCCCAAGGGAATGGGACCATCTGTAAGAAGGTTATACGTGCAGGGGAAGGAAATCAATGGTGCTGGTATTAATTCTAGTTTTGCTGTCCACCAGGTGTGTAGATCTCCATTTGTGATATTATTAGTTGAATGAAGAGTGGCTTGATTTGTATCTTTGAGTTAATGTGGATATTTTGATGGGTGTGCGTTCTTTAAAGGATGTTGATGGAAGGGCTACTGATGTTGCCCTTGGATGGTCTGTTGCTCTTGGTTCACCTTTTACTTTCGCCACCACCTTGGAGCAGGAGTACAAGAGTGATATCTTTGGGGAACGAGGTAATATTATTTTTTCCCCTCTAATATACTGCACCCTATGGTCTTCAATAGCGTGATGATTCACTATGTCAATTCATAGGCATTTTACTTGGTGCGGTGCATGGTGTTGTGGAGTCCTTATTCAGAAGGTACACTGAAAATGGCATGAGTGAGGATCTTGCTTACAGTAACACTGTGGAGAGTATTACAGGAATAATATCTAAGACCATATCAACAAAGGTCAGGCTTTGGGCGTTATTTCTTTTCCATCCTTCTCTCATGTCTATTTTTTATAAAGCTTGTTCATCTTAATGATATTTGGTACTTTATTTTATTTTACTGAATCCTTTCCATTTTTGTTTTCCAAATTTTTTTTTTTTACTGAATTCTTTACCGAATACTTTGATAGGGCATGCTGGCTGTCTATAATGCATTAAGTGAAGATGGAAAGAAAGAATTCGAAGCAGCTTACAGTGCTTCTTATTATCCCTGTATGGATATCCTATATGAGTGCTATGAAGATGTTGCCAGTGGCAGTGAGATAAGGAGTGTTGTCCTTGCTGGCCGTCGTTTTTATGTATGCTACTCTGTAATATTAGTCATTTGATCTCATGATTGTCTAATTTCTTTGTAATGATATTTTTGCTTTTATGCAGGAAAAGGAAGGTTTGCCAGCTTTCCCAATGGGCAAAATTGATCAGACAAGAATGTGGAAAGTAGGTGAACGAGTTCGAGCGACACGTCCAGCTGGTGACTTGGGACCTCTGTACCCTTTCACTGCAGGGGTCTTTGTGGCCCTAATGATGGCCCAGGTGAGTTGTATTCCTACTTATATTTCTTGTTGACTAGCACAATTTCTCGAGTCTTGAGTGAAAAGGCAGTGTATTTAGAGCACACAAAGTGGTATTTTTGTTATATACTTTTCAGATGCAAAATTCAGACATGTCTGATTTTTATGTGTAACAGCACATTTTCCAGTTTGCTAAAATGGTTCGTGAAGGATTTGAAATATTTTTTTTGCCTGTTTTAGTTCAAGAATTTAGGAATGAATTTCAAGATACCATAAATATTGGAAGCATGATTATAATTTGCGAAGAATTAAAAATTGGTTTATGGTAACACACCCACCCTGTTTTACTGTTGCAAGTCGCAACTAGGGATGCCGTTTCTATTTTTTTTTTACCAAAAATTTTGACCATTGGGACCTGTCATAGTGTTATTAAATAGTGGCCATGCAGTAGGATGCGGTTTCCTCCCAGATTCAGCCCAGAAAAATATAAAAAGTAATTAGACTCGGGTCTAATTTTGCCAACATCAACCCAGATCTATGATAGATCTGCACCCTTGAAAAATAAGAAAACCTTGATTGCTGCGAGAAAGAGGAAAGAAAAGAGCCACCCTTCCTCCAGCAACCCATCCTCGGGTCATTATTTCTCTTTTCCTTTCTTCCTTTTTCCTTTTCCCTGTTCACTGCATGTTTTCTTTTACCCTACCCCTTCCCTCTATTTTTCCATTTCTTTTTGCACTTCATAATTCCAGATCGTCTTTTGGCTGCCTTTATGAATTAAGTAAAAAGCAGCTCACTTTTTCTTTGGTGCCCTTTATTTTTTCAGCCTTTTATTTCTTTGTATCAATTTCCAGCCTTTTCTTTCCTTAAGGTCTTTATTTATTTCCCTCTGACTGTCAGGCATTCCTTGTGTAATTAATCTTATGTTTATATTTTATCATCATGTTTTATTCTTTTATTATGATGTCATACACGCACATATATATTAATGTAAATATATAAAAGTACATTTTCGGGGTCCCTCTCTTTCAATCCATCATTTATACGGGTGCTTTCTTGCTCTCATAGTGAATCAAGTGGTTGATGAATCTTTGATTTCTTTACTTGCAGATTGAGATTTTGAGGAAGAAGGGCCACTCTTACTCGGAGATCATAAACGAGAGCGTGATCGAGTCTGTTGATTCGTTGAATCCATTCATGCATGCCCGAGGTGTTTCCTTTATGGTCGACAACTGCTCCACAACTGCCCGACTGGGGTCAAGGAAGTGGGCCCCACGATTCGACTACATTCTCACTCAGCAAGCTCTAGTTGCTGTGGATAATGCTGCACCTATCAATCGAGATCTCATCAGCAACTTCCTTTCAGATCCTGTGCATGGGGCCATTGAAGTATGTGCTGAGCTGAGGCCAACTGTCGATATCTCCGTGCCTCCGGATGCCGATTTTGTGCGTCCGGAGCTCAGACAATCTGGCAACTGAGAGGGAGTTGAGGTTGAGACCTTCTGTGCTTTAGGCAGTTGAGTTCTAGTGGGGTTTATGTTTGTTTTGCTTGTAGAATTATGTGTGGATGTAATTTGCTACCTTGAGGACAATTGAGTTTTCTGTTAGTTTGGTGTTGTGTGGACCTTTGGGTTGTCGAACGAGTTTGTATTTCGTGCTATGAGATGTGAATAGCGTCGGCAACAAAGAAATAAAAGGAAATGTGATGGTCTGTCTTATCAACTGTGGTGTAGCGTTGTTCGACATTTGCGGTTAGGAGATCAACTAAGTTGTTGTCCTTTGAATACTGATAGAGAAGATGTGCTGATAAACTGGCATATGCGCCACTTAGTTTGAGGACATTAATATCAAGAGGGAAAGGTGCAGCATAGGTTTGTAAATGGACACGGCCAAATTCTGGGAGGTTCGGAGGGCCCTGAACTGGCCCGGATATATGCACGGGCCAATTCATTGAACGTCGGTTTTGGGCTGGTGCGGACTGGGCCGGTTTTATTTAAAAAAAAAAAATGATTAAAAAATAATAAAAAATGCAGAAAAGTAAAAATAAAAATAAATAATAAGACGAATCGGGCCTGTTCTGGTTCTGACTTCGAGTCGGCACCGGCCTCGCGGTTCAAAATGCCAGCGGTTCAAAAAATATAAATATATTGTCTGGAATCGGCTTGGTCAAACCACGGGCTCGGTTCAAGGCCAGTGGTCAACGGGCCCGGTTTAAGGCCAGGCCGGTTCCGTAGTCTAAATGATCATTTAAACGTAACAAAATTATTTTAAAGATTACATTTTAAATTTATTCCAAATATAGGAATAAAATTGGTGATAAAATGAGACTAAGAGAATAGAAGAGTTAAACACACGATCATTTTTTTTTTCTTTATGGTATCACTATTTTCGTGGTGAAAATTCTTTTCTTTTTGGTATCTTCCGAATAAACAAAATTTGTGACATTTACCACATCAATATATTATCACTTTAATTTTATACCATATTTTTTTGTTGTGACACGAATGTGAGGATTATAAATATCCAATCAAACTCATACGACAAAAACAACTTACCCGAATATACAATAACGCATACATTGTCAAGCCTATCTTTATCGCATGTTAGGTTGTTCTTGAAGAAACCGTTTTTCAGTACGGCAGTTATATGTTTTGGTTTCGCGTGTAACTACTAGGAAGTGGTATTAGTTTTTGGGGAAGATAAGTTACCCAGTAATCAAACTAATAATATTGCGTACAAGGAGATTTTTTAATAATGCATGATTTTTAATAAGGTATTAGTTTGTGGCGAAGATAAGTTACCCAATAATCAAACTAACTTATTGAGTAATAGCCTTCAATTTCTTAATTTTTCTAAAATAAATACAAGGGCCGAAGTCATCCCCAAGTCCCCTCACTCTTCCCAGGTGACTGGTTTCAGGCCAATTGCATGTTGCAATGCCACGTAGAAAGCTCGAAGATTATTGCATAGCGACTAAGTGCGCATCGCACGGGTTACATTATAGTAAATTATATTAATAGGTAATATAAATCTTTAATGATGAAAATCAAAGGAGAAAATAAGTAGTTCTATATTCAATAAATATAATTTTGCCGTGAAAAAATCTATTTTTAGTGTGTGGATATGAATTATCTTTGTCCTTGAGCAATTTGGTTAATAAAAGGGAAGAAAATTCAATTGCTCCCTTCTTAACACAGTGTTCTTCATAACATAACATTTCAAATACTAAACTTGTGACCAAATAATCTCAACTCATGGAGAATTCAATTCTGGGGATCACATTGAAAGCCACAACCAGTGGATGGATATGTCCAAAGAGCTTAACAAACACATAAATTTTTCCATAGGTTATTACCATAACTAAAATTAAACCACCCATAGGCAACACGCAGTGGCGCAATGTTAGCCACAAGCCAACACCAATCACAAGGAGAGAAAAATCCATACGACACGACCATAACACTAATAATATTATGATGAACATAACTCCACACAGGCAAATCATAGTTGTCTTCTTCAGAAGCAGCTGGCCCCAAATCACTGCCAGGTAAACCAGCAGTTCAGTTGAGTTTAAAACTACATATTTTATCAGTAAATAGGTTATTGGGGAAAAGGAATTTAACCCACCTCGGCACCCTCAGCTCCAGCCTTGTTGGCAGCATCCAACTTCTGTGATTCATCTGCAAGCAAGAAATTTAACAACATTTAAAAATAATTATAATAACATAGGGATACAGGAAAATCAATCACGCCAGAAAAGTTCATCAATCCATTAGCACGTTTCATTTATTTTTTATTATTTGATAGCTACATTCCAACAAAATAGCATGATGCATAAGGATACCAACTAAAGCATGACATAACAAAACCCCATAAAAATCTGCATCACACTAATATACAAATGCATGCGTACGAATGATGCCAACGTGTATCAATAAAGACCAGCACCAGTTAAAAGAACTAGAAAAGCAATCATAACATGAGCATTTCCACATCCAACACTTCATAACATCATGGGCCAACATACTACACAAAACAGTTCTATTTTTGTTGAAGTTCATTCTTTCGGAGCAGCTTATTTCTTTTTGTCTGGAATTCATGAAGGAACCCGGCTAGCTACATGGACAAGAAAGATTGAGGACCTCCCTCCCCCCACCTAGGGTCTCTAAGAATACAAGGTGCAGCAACCCGAGACTCAATGCACCCTTCATTGTGGCAACTACTTTCTTATGCTTAAAATAAAGTTGGTGCTCGAGGGAGCTAGGGCAGGGGCAATGGCAATAAGTGTTATTTTCAGAGATTACATGGCAAAATCCTTGGATTTCTAGTAGAGTGGGTTGAAATCAATTAGCTTTTCGGCAGAGCTTCTGGCAGCTAGACATGGTCCTGGCAATGTGGATTCTATACAATGGCCATTTATTTGGATAGAATTTGGCTCCACTTAAGCTATGAAACTCCTGCACCCAGTTTCAGGTGTTCTAGATTTTCCAAAAGGCAGATATTGTGGGTACTCATGTGGTCTTTCCACATGGATGAGTTTTATCTTACGAGAGGTTTTAAGAGGCTCTTCATTGATAATGTAGTGAATGCTTTTCTCATTTTTTCATTTCTATAGGCGATGCAGACCTTATTTAAGGAAAACCAAATTAAAAAAAAAAAAAAAAGTTACAGCCACGCAATACCTTTTTATGACCTTTAAAAATGAAGGGAAAAAGAAAAAGAAAAAAGCCGCCTAGCTAGTACATAACTATATTTTACAATCACCAGACTGCCCATACAACATGTAACTGGCCTGCCACTTACGAAATCACCACGCCTACCGCAAATCTAGGTGACTAAGCCAATATCTAGGACACTGAGGATGATATTCTATTGTCATTTATTTTCTTTAATTGATATCGTACCTGCATCTTCTGGTATGTCTGAGGTCCATAGTGTGAGATTATCTCTAAGAAGCTGCATTATCAAGGTGCTATCTTTATATGAATCCTCATTCAATGTATCAAGCTCAGAGATGGCTTCATCGAAAGCTTGCTTAGCAAGGTGGCATGCCCTGAAAACACAATCAAATAGCTGAAAGATTCCGAAAAAGATTCAATAATAATAATTATTATTATTTAATGATTAAAGAGGAAAAAAGGATGGACCTTTCGGGTGAGTTCAAAATCTCATAGTAGAAGACCGAAAAATTCAAAGCCAGCCCCAAACGAATGGGATGTGTTGGAGGCAGCTCAGCCTCAGCAGTCGTAGTAGCCGTCTGAATGCAAGTCCAAAAAGAAAAACAAGCATAAGATATAGATATGTAGAATAGTGTGCGGACTTACAACATGGATCAATATCGACAACAATTTAAATTTGTTTCTACAGAAAATGGAAAACTTTAAATGCTTCATTGAAACCATAAACAACACTTGGATATCAATACATACGTACAGAAGGAAATGAAAAATGTCGCAAAATATTTGTGTGATACACAACTCTTGGTATTACCCATTAGACTGACAGCGTTAAGATTCATAGATTTAATGCGCTGAGGAAGGAATGAAGTAAAGAAAAATGACAAATCCATACACGAATGTGCTTTCTCAAAATCATTGAAATAAAAATCTAAATCATACCTCATATGCTTTCAGCGAGTTATCAGCGACTTCTTTCCTCTCATTACCAGTCTTGAACTCAGCAAGATATCTATAGTAATCCCCTTTCCTGTGAACATGCCAATATAATCACATTAGCATTTATTTTATTTCATTTTTATCGTTTCCTTTTCGTTTGTTTCGAGAAATCTAGCGATCAATTCCGATTCTTTCTTTTTCTCTTGATTCTTTTCCGATCGAGATGTATAGTTTTTTATCTCAGATGTTGAGCACTTGAGCTGTACATGAAACAGACAGTAAAGTAAACCTTACATCTTGTTGTAAAACACAGTTGATTCACCAGCCGTGCACGCGGGAATCAAATGTTCATCAATCACGGACATGATGTCACTACAAATATTAGTGAGCTCTAACTCCACTTTCTGTCGGTATTCCTTGATCCTCTTAGCATTCACCTCATTCCCTCTCGACTCTTCCTTCTGCTCAATTGATGACAGGATTCTCCATGAAGCCCTTCGAGAACCGACAACATTTTTGTACCCAACTGATAGCAAGTTTCTCTCTTCCACAGTCAAATCCACATCCATATTGGCAACCTTTTTCATTGCTTCCACCATCTCTGCAAATTTAATGCCAAATATTTTTAACCAACAATCAAGATTTATTTTGATTTACGGTTCAAATAAATGTACAGAACAAGTGATTCAAACACACTCATCGAACAAATATTTCCGATCTGCAAATACCCTAAGTTATATGAAAGAACAAAATGAGAGAGAGAGAGTACATAGTATGTTTACTTATCTTTTTCATATTTGAATCTTTTACCAATTAGTATTATTCTAAATGTTTATCGAACTCCCTAAACCTAAAAGTACAAAAGACAAAAATAAGATCCGGAATGAATTCATACACTAATTAATCTCAAAGAAAATCCAAGCTACAAACTCAGACAAGTTCAAGCTAGCCACTGTAAGCAAGCTCAATCGTAATCAGCTATTTAAAGTTCACTACTTCAAACTATCACGAAAACTAGCGTACGATAAGGTCAAACACTAGCAAAAGCGAGATCCACAAGTAAAGTAAAATAATACATTTATGTGAACACTGCAGAGTCTGTGTTTGTAAGGTGAAGAACTTTTACCGTCGTAGCGTTCGGCTTGTTCGGCGAGTTTAGCAACGTAAATAGCTGACTCGCGTTCTGCAGAGGAAGCCATCTCCGATCTAATTCACCAAAATTTGAGCTGTATTCTCTCTAGGTTTCGGCAACAGCCCTTTTTTGTGACTGGTACACTGAACTTTTCGGCAAGGCGAATAATTAGAAATAGCGGTGGAGAGAGAGAAGTGGTTGAAAACAATCAAGAGACATGATTGACTGTCTGACGAGTCTTTTTTTCTTCTGTGCGCACCCTCCGGTTTCTTACGATTTCAACTAAAGTCGGGAAACAAAAATAAAAAAATGTAATCTCAAAAAGGATTGTAAAAACAAAAAAAAACGAAAAAGATAATTGTATGGTTTTTTGGGTTAATTTTATTTACCTCCCGAATTATGTAAAGTTCTAAATTCTAACATTGCAACATGTTCATTTATACTTCTCAAACTGCAATAGAAAGTCTCATTTTTCGTCAATATACCTCTCAAACATAGAGTTGACCAAGCAAAACCAATTTGAGCATTGAAATATCTGTTTTACCTTGTTTTAAAAACAAAAATTGAGGTGATAGTAGTCTTTTCGCATTCAAAGTTGGCTTATTTTTCTGCATACCTAATCAACCAATCTAAAGAGGCCCTCATACACGACTCATCGTTAACGACGTTATGCAAATCGGACTCGATTAGCATACAGTGCTACTCACGACATTGCTCTTATTCACACCGAGTTCAAACCATCCAAGCACAAATAGCTCACATGTCCCTTTTGGGTCGCTTAATGAAGGCGCGAGCTCGACACGAACTACCACTTGCTTAAACAGTCATTGAAAACATTGGGTGGGCCGCCATAATGCCCTGCAAAGTCCATAATGCCCAATCAAGGTCTTTCTCCACCACATCTCCCAGCAAGTAGCTTATGCGATACTGCGTGTGTGTATGTGTGTGTGTGTGTGTGTGTGTGCACGTGTGTTGGTACACTTCAATACTGTAACACGTATCACCAACAATGCAACTGTGCCAGTAGTACCTCGTCGTAGTGGGAGGATTGTAAGGCAGCCCGAACGATTCCTTTTTCTAGGTGAGTCTTCTGAGACCGTCCCTGGTGGACTTGATATAGACCCATGGACCTATGACGAGTCAGTCTAAGATCGGGACTTAATGCCTTGGCAAAGTGCGATGGAGGCTGAAATAGAGTCAATGGAGTCAAATCAGGTCTGAGATCTTGTAGAGCCATCCAGTGGTATTCGCGTCATTGGATGCAAGTGGCTCTATAAGAGAAATAGTGGATCAGATAGGAAGGTAGAGACTTTCAAAGCTAAGCTTGTTGCGTAAGAGTACACTTAGAAAGAGGGTATCGATTATGAGGAAACCTTTTTGCCGGTAGCCATGCTCAAATCCATCAGGATTCTCTTGGCTGTAGCCGCTTATATAGATTATGATGTCTAGGAGATAGATGTTAAGACCACTTTCCTTAACTGGAATTTGGACGAGGACATTTATTTGCAGCAACCAGAAGGTTTCATTGCAAAAGGACGAGAGCATCTACTCTGTAAGCTGAAGCGATCCAATTATGGACTGAAGCAAGCTTCGCGGTCTTGGAACATCAGTTTTGATGAGGTTGTCCAGTCGTATGGATTTTCCAATATCCGAATGAGCACTGGTATACAAGAAAAGTGATGGAAACGTGGTGGTTTTCTTGTACTATATGTAGATGACATTCTTCTAATTGGAAACAACGTGAAGAAGCTATAAGACGTGAAGGTATGGTTATCCAAGCAGTTTGATAATGAAGGAATTGGTAGAAACAGACACATTCTCGGGATCAAGGTCATTCGAGATCGTTAGAAGAGAATGTTGTGCTTATCTCAATCCACATACATAGATACTGTCTTGGTGCATTTCAACATGCAAGATTCAAAGAAAGGGCAACTGCTCTATCAACATGGAATCCCTCTGTCTAAGAGGATGTCTTCCAAGATACCTCAAGAGATAGAGGACATGAAGGCAGTTCCTTATGTATCGACATCAAGAAGCGTTATGTATGCAATGTTGTGTACCCGACCAGATATCTGTTATGTCGTGGTAATGGTAGCCAGATATCAAAGTAATCCAGGATAGGAGCATTGGACTGTGGTGAAGCATATACTCAAGTAACTGAGAAGGACTAAGGAGTACATGTTAGTTTACCGAGCAGACGAGTTACTCCGTTGGGTTTACACTAATTCTGATTTTCAGTCAACCAGGATGAAAGTAAATCCACCTCAGGGTTTGTGAATACTCTAGGAGGAATAGCTATAGTTTAGAGGAATGTAAAGAAGAAAGGCATGGGAGACTCCACCATGGAGTCGAAGATTTTGCAGCCTCAGAGGCAACAAAAGAAGCGGTGTGGCTCAGAAATTTCTTGTTAGACCTTGACGTGATACCAAGTTTGCCCGTTGCAATCACAATTTTCTGTGACAACAACGGAGCAGTAGCAAACTCAAAGGAACCACAGACTCATAAAGCGAGTAAACACATAGAGCGCAAGTACCTCTTGATACGAGAAATCGTTGGGCGAGGGAAAGTCATTGTTGCTAAGATAACATCAGAGGACAACCTAGCAGATCCATTTACGAAAAGCCTACCGGCGAAGGTCTTCGATCGACACGTAGAAGGAAGGGGAGTCAGGCGTAAGGGCGACTAGTTAGACTATTCTTTGAGATTTAGATTGAAAGAAAATATACTTAATAATAGCCAAAAGCTATATAGAGTATAAGTGAGAGATTGTTAAAGTATACTGTAAAGGCTCGGCTTTCAGTGTCTAGCATAAGTATGTGTGTTTGCAGTTTATTTATTTATGCGAGCATAAGTTCCTTTAGTTTACATTGTAGATAGTATGGTTCGTTGTGTCGAACAAAAAGATCATATTATCAATTCATTGTAAATATAAATAATTAATTCACAGTCGAGACAGAATTAAACAACTGTTGGTAAAAGATTGTAGTGTAATTTTGATTCAGTTGATATTTGACTGATAAATTACACTAGTACTTTGTAAGTATTGAATGGACCACAAAGGAGAAGATTATTTGAATACTGACCAAGTAAATAATTTAGACCTCAGTGATTGATGCGTTCTCTTAAGCCGTAAGATAATAAAGAGCATATGTACTCATCATTTATTTATTTAATTTGACAAAGGTGATTCCTATAGCGCCCGCTTACTTTTCTTTAGAAAATACTACGATTTTTGGAAATATTTTAAACTTTTTAAAAACCTTTCAAAAATAAAACATTTCTCTTGGCCACTACTAAAACCTTTTCTTTTTAAAACTTTCTAATACATCCTTATTTCTTTTAAAACTCAACCCAAGCCTCACTCTTAGGTTTTCAACAAAATCACTTCCCAATACTCATCTTTGAAAACTTAACCTAAGCATCACACTTTGGTCCTTAGAGAAATCACATCCCAATTTCTCTCATTCTTTTTCAAACAATTTAAGACAAAGCAGAACGTTCAAAATACTTAGTCTTAAATGAAAACACATAGTCTTAAAACGATAAACTCAGTCTCGTTCACAAAGCATAAAAAAGACAATTAAGAGTTTGTAAAAACTTGCGGAAACAAAAGCACACAGCATTAAAAGACCACCACCGCACTCCCGTGTCCACAGCCAGCTACTTAACCTGAAAATGATAATTGTGGAGGGTGAGCAAAACCACTAGCCCACCTGGAGAGTATACTATGTGATTATTCAGAATAATTAAAAGACACCATGACATTAGTATGAAACATGAATAAACTGATCATAAGGCCCTCACAGGCACTTCCCATCACAGCAGAGTGGTATTTAATATCTTTATCCCTCACAGGCGCTACCAATCACGGGCAGGGTTATAAAAGTTATGCCTCCCACAGGCGCTCATAGGCTAGAATACTCATACAACATACAACAATCATAAATACCACAATAATTATTAAGAATAAGACATAGCATAGACTTCCCCACCTTAAACTTGAATAAAGATGATATGCGGATGCTTCAATGGGATACTCGAGGGCTCGACTCCTCGAAATCTACATTTTTTAAGAAAAACTCTTATAAATAACTTAACTTAACTTGGTAAAATAAATTACCAACTTGGAGAACTTTCTTAGCTTAAGGTTCTTGACTTAGTGAAAAATTTTCTTAGATTCGGAACTCTCGGCAAAAGGTCTTTTAAAGCTCGGAAAACAGTTTTCAAAACTAAAAATTAGGGTCCGACTTAAAAATACGTTCACGGCTTGAAAACAAGTTCAAAAGCTCAAAAAAGTGGCTCGGGGTTCATGGCTCACTGCTGGCTCGGTACAGTCGGGCGATGGCGTGACCTAACTGCGGCTTGCTCGGTGCGGCTAGCGCTGACACGGCCTGACCGCGACTGGAACTGGTTGCCTGGAAGTGGGGGCTGCAAGTCACCCAGGGCACTCCCCTGCTCGACGTGGCTCGGCGCTCCAAAGGGCTGTGGTTGGCTCCGCGCGCACCTACTCACGGAACGGGTCTGCGGCTGCATAGGTCCATAACGTGCACGCTGGAACGAAGAATCGCGTGCACACACTGCGCTGCTGGGACGGTCACGGGTCGTTGGGGCGCGGGACGCTGGGCGCTGGGTGCTGGGACGCTGCGTGCTATCTGGGAACTGCAGGGTCGTGCGCGCATGCAGGCGTTGACAGCTGCGGTGCCGCGCAACTTTAGAAGCCTAGAGTTCCCAGGAACAGAGAAGTTTGCATCTACGTTTAAGGACGGCGAGTTGGGTGCTAGTCTAGAAGGTCAAAGGATTGGTATCAAGGGCTTGGCAAGGTCAAGAGTGACAATTGCGTCGTCAAGGGTCTAGAGTGAAGGTAGGGGCAGCTAGAAACAGAGCTTTTTTGGGGTGAGAAAAGCAATCGACTAGGCCATTTAGTCGAGACTGGAGGAGGAGGTCGAGGAACCAGTCTCATTGAATGAAGGCATATCAAGAGAGGTTTTCAAGGGGAGTGCGCCGAGGAAAACCTCCGAAAAAGAAAAACTAAAGGGAATAATATAAAAAAGAAGAAGAAAGAAATAAGGAAAAGTGAAAGAATACAAATGAAATAAAGAAGAGGAAACCTCAGAGCGTACCCATAAACGACGACAAAAAAAGGTCAGGGATGAGAAAAGTCAAGGAGCTCGCCGAATTTTAGAATAGATTCTGAGAGTCTTTAGCCGCTAGTGGCTTGATGTGGAAGGATCTCTAGCAAGAGTTTTAGGAATTTTCGGGTAAACTTGAGGCTTTATAAGCAGAAGAAAGAGAAACGGTCAGCGGTTCTGACCGTTAGATGAGTGCGTAGATCAAAGGCTCGAATTTTGTGGGCCAGGGATTGATAGGGTCGACACACGTGGACAACTGATGTGGTGGCAGCTTAAGATCCCGATAAGTGGGGCGTCTTTTCGGTGTCTCACGTTCTCCCAGAATGTTTGGTCGTACACTCAATGTAAAAAACAAACTAGGTTCAAAGCACAACAAAACACAATTTCGGTATGAGTCTTGACAGCTCGGTCTTGTAAAGGCCGAAGCCCCCTCACCACTGAGGTTATCCAAACCCCACCCCAATAGTGAGCTAAAGAGAATATGTATTACACCTCCTATTTTGGATCCTCCCAGAGAGGCAACACCCCCGGTCTAGAATCTAGACCTAAGGATTGAACCATGTCGTAGCACTTCCACATGAGACCAAACCTAATAAGATTTTCATCTTTTCGGTTACAGTTCCAGTGAGTGATTACGACAGGTGCCCCCTCGAGGAGATCCTCGATAGAAACCCATAGGTCCATTGCAGTAATGCAATACCAACAAAGCAATTTTAACCAGCTCTCCATCCAACACGGGAGTGAATGTGAATATTATATGTGATATGGAGGTAACGACCTCAGGAGCTTGGACACGAAGAGAGACCTCAATGCCTTGAGGTAGCCAATTGGTGAGGTCGGCTATCGATCTCGGCAATGTCTTATAGCATGAAGGTTAAGAGGTCGTGGTTTCGACCTAATGGCCTTAGGGTTGTACGACAAAGAGGGAATGAATTCTAGTAAGATAAAAAGTATAGCTTGTTAAGGAGACTTGCCTGGATAGAAACGTGGTAAGCTAGGAAAAAAGATTTGATTTGATTTCTTTCCTAACAGCGGCTCTCTTGGGATCAAGGCATCTTCGTATATAAGGGTAACTGGATTTTTTTTTTTNGAAAACAATAAAATTGCAATAAGAAAAAATCCCTAGTAAAATTTGATTTTTTGAAAACATTATCTAACTTGTGTGTACTTCAGACTTGAATAAAAACTGAAAGAAGCGCAAACTTAATAGGCATTGTTTCATCGGTGAGCAATTTTCAAATGTCCTAATTTGTGTCTTAGAGACTTGAGGCAAATAACTAATGTCATAATATTTTATCATGCCCAAATAATTTCAACTGGGCACATACAAGTGATATCACCTGATATGTTGTCTCCAAAGAAAATTTCGGTGCAACAAAGCGCACCAAAAGTGCCACTTCATAATGTTTAGGGAACAGTCGCATGTTCCTTTTAGGCTGTCCACCGACGGAAAATCAACGTGGACTAGAACATGATGGATCAAGAACATCGATATCATTGGGTTAATTTTATATAACCACTTGATTATTTCATTAAAGCGCAAACAGGAAGAATTTTCTCTCCCACAATCAAGAGCTTTAAAACTGTCAAAATTAAGTCCGAAATAGCTGATCAATATAGACAGATAAATACATAACATAAAATTTCGGCGGTGAAAAAAGTCTGCACAATTTACAAACAAGGGCTTTACAGTCATTAACTAATTACAGAAAATGTGAGATAGCACACAGTTGAGTGGACAGTCAAGACCACTGCTAAAGAGAACTTACAAGTTGGCAGCACCTTTACAAAACACAGTTAGCATCTACCATCACATCAATCTGCACTTAGAGTATCAACTGTTAACACCGACTACATTAGCTTAATAGCAAGATCACAAGATAACTTTGTCGAAACTTATCACACAATTACATAGAAGCAATACAACTATCTTGAGACGGGGTTTCTTAATAGAGTTGTCAGCATTAGCTTCACTAGACCTGCAATAGAAGGTCAGAGATCAGTTTCATGTAAGATCAGTAAACCAGTGCTTACCAAGCAAAAAGAAATACTAGCAGCTGGGAAAAAAAAAAAAAATTGCCCTCATTCATCTTTCTAGTCATATAATTCATTTTCAACAAATACCACGAACCACCAAATATGTGGTCGGCCGAGCAGGACCTATTTTCAGCCATTACAGGTTCTATCAGACCAAATACATTGTTCGTGCAAGTAATAATAAATCAGGCATAACTACTTTCTTCCAGTGACAATTATACGCAACAATACAAAATGAATGCAATCCTGCTAAACCAATTGTTCACCTCCTCTTTTCAACTGCATGACCAAACAATCCAAAATAAGCCCAGATCTGCATTTGGGTCTGCTGATAAATAAAAATAAGAAAGCCCTAACCCTAATTGCTGCGAGACAAAGACAAAGGCGAAGGGCCACCCTCCGGCGACCTGCCTTCNCCGAACGAACTTTTGTTCACAAACGCTCGGTTCGTTAACAGTCCTATCCGGAACAAACCTGAGCATAAAAACTAAAAGGAATTATTCAGTTCAATTGCCTTTTTTGCATATAACCAAACAAAGCTACAGAGAAAGCACAGACTTGGATGACATTCTTATGAACTTGTCTCACAGATACACTACCGATTGTGCTTTAGAAACATTTAGAAATTGAAGGTCTATGGAGGTGCAAGCCTGCTCAAGCTGTGGCTCACGCGCATACAATACATGAACTCATAAGATATTGTAAATTTAGCCAAACTACCCCCAAATCAACAATTCTTATTGTGGTGACATCTTGTGGAACATCTAATTTGTGACAAATACAATGTAGAAACCAAAAAATTAAATAGATATTGTCACGCATAAAATTGCTAATTAAATATATATTCACGAGACATATAGTTAGTTCAAAACGCAAAGCTAACAAGAAACATATGAGACTACAACGGTTAGGTCATCGAGTTTACCACCATAGAAAGCAAATCCGGCTTGTTCAGCTGCAACAGAAAACGGGCTCCGACATTTCCTGTCCAGAGCCCGTATACGTGAAAACTCAGCAATCTTTCGGGCTGTGGCATTAGGACAAAAACCTTCTTTGACAGCATCAGCCACAATAGTCGCTATCTCTTTATTATACAAATTGTCGAACAAGCCATCACTACCTGCAACGACCACATCTCCAGGTACAACTGGAACTTTAAAAACCTGAAAAATAACTATAACATATGAGTTTTAAGCATATGACAAAAGTATCGACAATTATGCACTAGTTAAAGGTGTAATTACTAAAAGAATGTCCCTATTTGAGGGTGTAACTTAAGATAAAACAAAAATAAAAAAAAAAAAAAAAAAAAAAAAATGGGCGGCTACTGGCCTTCTCTCAAATTTTACAACTGGTCTTAGTGTTTTACAGTTTGGGAGAGATGAAATACAACAACAACAACAACATAGCCTTTAGTCCCAAGCAAGTCGGGGTAGGCAAAAATACAGGAGAGATGAAATAAGAAAGATAAAAAGAATTATGTAAACAAAGATTGTGACATGTCTTAATTCTTGCTTCCCTTTTTTTCTCTTCGGCCCAATGTAATTGTGCCTTGTTGAAAGTGGGTATCTTTTTTTCCCCCCCATTTTTGCTGTAAAATGGGCGAATCAATATATGACCCATTTGGCGAAGCAAATAAAAGATGGAAAATTGTTGGGCTCCTGACGGTTGAGAGCTTGGAGAGAGAGGAGGTGGTTGATGTTAGAGGTTTGTGAGGGTTAGAGAAGAAGAAGAAGACTATTTTGGATAAAATAAATATAAAATACGGATACAATTTTATATTTTATTTTTTTTTTCAGTTTTTGGGGAAACAAAAATTGTATTATCATCACAAACAAACATCATTGTTATCAACAGAACACAAGAGACCAAGTGACCACACAAGAGACTGACTGATATTGTCCAATCCTATCCGCCTAACCAAACAAATCCTTAGGGTATTGAAAAGTTAAATTGAGCCGTCGGCTTGTGCGGTTGAAAATGAAATCCTGGGAGGCGTTAGCATTATATTCTACGTGAAGATTGATTGATGATAAATCTTTCACCTTTTCTTCCTGACAGAAAGATTCCATTATTTTTGCCCTCATATATGTCCAATAATAACGAGTTACACTGAAAATATCCGACCACAGCCCATAATTTGAGATGGTAAAATCTACAATGAAATCGCATAAATGGAAAAGCAATCAATTATTTTCATCGGACTTTGATGTATGTCGTTATAAGCACTTAATTACTAAAACCGTAGCAAAGAAACTTTAAATCTAAAAGGAATCCATTTGGTTGCATGGATGCACGGAAAAAGCAATCAATTATTTCCACCAGACTATGACTTGTGTCATTATAAGCACTAGATTACTAAAACCATAGCAAAGAAACCAATTATATTAAAGTAATTGGTGTTTCAAGTGTTCTTAGTGACACGTTCAAGCAAATAAAACAACTGATAAAAGATAAGAATTTATCTTCTGAAAAATCAAAAGCATAAAAGTTAGCCTGGAAAGAAGAATAACTATACCTCAAAACTCAATTGTTTGGTGAGTGTTTGCCATCAGATCCATCTGCTGAGGAACTTTCGACATCAGAATCTGTAATGAATGTTTACTTCAGTAAGAGGACAAGACTTCAATGCATCAAAATATGTCAAAAAGAGTCATAAAGGAAACAGACAAAAACAATTAATAATCAGTATACCCCTGGATGAGGAGCTGGTGGTATCAGAGCTAGAGCTGCTGTGGTTGGTTTCTTTATTTGTGTTAGCACATTGGGGCCCTTCCACTTCAACTGGAGTTGAGACAGCTCTCTCTTCATCTATTCATGAATCGCAGAATATACCAAAATAAAAGAGGAAAAATAAAAGCAAAAGTTTCATGAGTTACAAACTCATATGCAATAACAGGATTTTTGAATCCAAAACTTTACCTGTTCTGCTTTCTTTTGGGGTCTCAGTCAAAACTGTTGAGGTAATCTGCAGAACAGAAAGGAAAAGATTCATAAAACAAAAACGATTATGAATGAACTAAGATGGTAAAAAAAGATTACCTTTTCCTTGGTTGTTGGATATGGATCAGTTGCTATTTGACTGACATTTTCAGCCTCCCTTTTGTTCTTGCTCAAACTCGTTTTATAATTTGTTATGAACCTGTCGAGCTCCCACAAAGTCTCAGCATCAACACTGTCAATATCAACTTCAATCTCATCATCTTGCTGTGAAACTGAGGGATTTCTCTTCTTAATAATCTGAACGACGTTCTCAAGCTTCTCGGAAGGTAAATTCTGCAAATTTACACTAAGCTTTTGCTTCTCTTCATATGTCATCTCCCTTTTGTCAGAATCATTTGCCTTAGGTTTCTTTGGGGAAGGAACCCTGCCAGATTGAACAACACCCATTGTCTTTCTTTTTGGATCAGTATCAACAGTTTTTTCCATATCAGGTTGTGCCCTTGACTGTGAGGGAGGAAGAGACTTCTGAGCTCTAGGCATTGGCAAACCCACACGAAAATCTGAAGGAAGCTTCATCTCATGCCTATAATCAGCCTCTATAGGAGCCCATTTGTCCTCAAACAATTTGGACAGCAGATCCGCCATCAAGTGAACATCTTGCTCTTTTGGGTTATAAGTCATAGCATTACGAAAAGTGAGTCTCACATCCTCGGCAAACTCGACCGGTGACTTATACCAAGACTGAGTCAACCTATTTTTCACGGTACCAAGATCCATAGGGTTCTTTATGATTTCAAAATAGTCATGCAGACCAAGGCCAACAGCATCAACAGGCGTGTTGAATACCCAAGCATGCTTGTGCTTCATCAATCTCTCAAGGAGAGCACTACAACTCTTGAATGCCTGATTAATTGAAAAATTCTGCATTCCCAGCCCACTTCCTCCTTCACCCTTTGACTTCAATCTTTTGTTGCCTTCAACAGGGGGAATCTTATCCTTGGCCAGCAAAAACTCCGAATTCCTGTACAATTTGTTTGCCTTTGGAGTCCTTTTCTCTTTCCCCACATTACCAACTCTCGACTGCTTAATTGACTGATTCAGACGCTTCACTGTTCGAGACGGTCCCATTCCCACGGCCACCTTATCAGCATTTCTAATAATAAGCTTGTGGACCTCATTCTCATTTGCTTCAATCTTGCTCATCAAGCTCCGCACCATCTCCCGCTCGGCCTCCAGCTTCCTCCTTAGCTCGAGAAAATGACGTTTTGATGCCATGGACAAATCTATCCGAACCTGATTTTCCTGCCTCAGAAACCCTCCCCTCACAGCTGACCCGTCACGACTCAGACCCGAAAAATTATCAGAACCCATATCAAAACCAGAAGCATGTAGTTTTCTCGTGGGGTTTAGCCCCTCTGAAACAATAGCTTGTCCCCTCAACAAATCGCTGCTGCCCTTGCTGTTTTCAGACGATCTATTACAGTAAACTTTACCATCCCCAGACTTAATTTGCTCCAACATCTTCTCACAGTGCGAAACACGCAACCACTGACTAAGTTGGCACCATCATTTCTTTTACAACCAAAGCACTGTTTTCTAATACACAACTAAGTACTGAAGTTAAATTAGGGTTTACAGAAGAGTGCACACCTTTGTGAGAAGAAATGTCAGCTCCTCCTCCGTAATCTGCTTTGGCTCCATACCTACTTTTGTTGCTTATCGCGGAGGAAGGGGGAAAGGCTGTGGTTTTCAGAACTCACGCGCGGGGACCAGTAATAAACAATATTCTGGGCTGGCAATCTACGGCTGAAAACGCTACCAGGTGTCCGCATTACACGAGTTTCGCCTTGCGGATGGTTATCGCCCCAAGTTCGAACATGGCGCGTGTGGTCAAAACGCCCGTCAGAATAGGTTATGCGATCAGTGAATCCTAATTCCCAAACCGAAAAAGAATAAATAAAAAGAAGTCCTGTTTAACGGTTCAACTCTTACTCAGAATCGGATTGGATAACAAAGTCCAAAATTGAAATATTAGAACTTAGAACTATTTCTCAATTTATGCGTGTCATCCTTGCCCAGTAGGACCATGCTAATCATTTCTGTATCGTTCCAATTTTATCAGATGTCTCCGAAGAGACATATTAAAATTTAGAACTAGTATTCAACCATGTGCACATTAGCACATATCTATATCTATATCTATATCTATATCTATATCTATATATATATCTATATATATATATAAAGAGGGTGTAAAAAATACATTAATAGAAAGTTTGACCTAATAAATAAAACAATTGACTTACTATAAATGGAAAGTTCGAAAAAATACATGTGAATCTTTAGTAACAAAATCTGAATCCTATTTTTTTGGTAATTAATTTGGAGATTCTTATGGAAAAATTTGAATCCCATTTTTTTCGCATCATATATTTTTTTTATCAAAATTTAAATCATATATTTTGGTGATAAATTTGGAGATTCTTATGCAAAAAATGTGTCAATTATTTATAAAAAAATTCTAAATACAAATTAACGTAAAAACCGTACAAATTGGATACGAATTTAGGAAACAAATAGTTGTATAATTCTTAACCAATTCTTCCAATCTTATTGAATAATTTTTTCTTTAAAAAAAAGTGTGTAAATTGGATAAAACCACGTGCAATTTTTATTTTAGAATAAAACTGATATTTGGACGGATGTACATTCAAAATTGTGTCCACATTTTTGGTAACAAAAGCGATTCATCTTTGATATTTAAAGTCACCTTATCCAATTATATAGGAAAAATTGTGTGCAACTTTTCAAAATTTAAATGCATCGATTTTTTTGGATTCTTATGTTTTTTCTTAACCATGTTTTACCGAGATTTTGGTAAGTTCATATCATTTTTTTTGTTAAGTTCATATCATTTTCTTTACGAAAGAGACAGTTGCATAAACATTAACAAATTGTTCCATTTTTTTATTAAAATTATTTTCAATTCAATTTGTTTGGTAAAAAAATCGGTGCAGTGTTAGGAAAATTCGGTTGCATTTTTAGGAAAAATTGATGATTTTTTATTTGGTTTAAAAATATATTCGGATCAATTTGTTTGATAAAAAATCAGTTTATTGGTAGAAAAATCGGCTTCATTTTCAGGAGTAAATAATGATTCTTTTTAATATATATAAAAAGGTTGTTTGAAAAATACTTAAATAGAATGCTTGACTTATTAATTAATTTGTTTGACTTACTAATTTAGGAAAATTTGTTAAAAAGCACGTGCAATTTGAGTAAAAAAAATGAGATTTTAAAAGCAATATTCGAATCAATTTCTTAATAAAAAAACCGGGAGGATGATGTTGAATTGTGGATGAGGATAATTTCAATTGATTCTTTCCGAATTGAAAGGTCACATGTGAAATATATACACCAAAGGTATCTAATTTATTAGTTACTTAGGGAGCATGATTGTAGGAGATCAAAATATATCAATGTAAATGTAATATCAAGCCATATAAAACAAGTTTCGTTATAAGTAATTTAAACATTCTTGGTAAGTTTAAAATTATTATATATAATAAATCCTTTTTTTTATATATTAATAGATACTACCTCATTTTTTTAATGCCATTTTGACTTTATTAACAATTAACCAAATAAATGATGTTTTAGATCTTTTGTACATATTTTTTCATTATTCCCAATCTAACTAATAAATACACTACATCTTTTCATATTCATTCTTCATCTTTTCTCAAAACATCCATCTCTATCCTTATTAATGAGGGTTATTATTTACAAAAAAAAATTCTTAATTACTGTGCAACTTTTCAAAACAATATTTATTAAAAAAAAGGAGGGAGTACTATATATGTACTTATATATCTATATCTGTATCTACATATATATTGAAAGAGGTTGATTAAAAAATCATTTATAGAAACTTGATAAAAAATTTGAGTAAAAACCTTTGACTTAGTTCTTTTGGAAATTCAATCTAATACTATAAAATAACAATAGGGATTTACTTAAGTTGAAAAAAAGTTCTCGCCTAAAATTTTAGATTTTACTACAATTGATAACTTTTTTTTAAATTCTTTGAAAAATTGGGAGTTGATTTGCAATTTGAATTATAGCGGCGACGTTGGATGTAGCCGAGTCTATCATTGAGTACATGACATCATTGAATTTGTTGGATGGTCATATGTACTTGAGTTCTGACAGTACATGCAAATCGGATTCTAATAATGATTTTTTGTCTGAACTCCATACACCTGAGATTTTTAATAGCATCAAGTGTTCCGGAATACCGAACCATTAGTTGTATTTGAAAATTGGAACTCCGGTCATGTTGTTGCAGAACATGGATCATTTTATGGGTTTGTGTAATGGGACATGATTGGTTGTGACAAAGCTATCCAGTCATGTTCTTGAGTGTAAGATACTCACAGGAGATCATGCTGGTGATAAGGTGTTGATTCCAAGAATGGTCATAACTCCTTATGATGTTAGAATTCCTTTCAAGTTCCAACAGAGGCAATTTCCCATTATGGTTTCTTGCGCCATGACTATAAATAAGAGACAGGGACAATCCTTATCTCATGTTTGCTTATTTCTTAAGAAACCAGTGTTCAGTCATGGTTATATGTTGTTGTCTCACATGTCACTTACCGAAAATGTTTGAAAATCTTAATTTGTGGTGAAGATGATATGCCAAATAATCAAACCAATAATGTTGTATATAGGGAAGTGTTCAATAATATATGATCTTTTCAGTTTAATTATATGTTTATATGTCTATTCTTATGATCATGATCATTGCATTATTACATAATTTATATACGAAAGTGCATTCTAAAAAGCGTATAGATAATAATTTCCCCGTGCATCGCCCGGGTGATTACTAGTTTATATAAAAAGGTTGTTGAAAAATTCATTTGTGGAAAGTTTAATTTTTGGGTCAAATTTGTTGACTTGCCATTTAAGAAAAGTCTGTCCATATTTTTTCAAACCTATTTACTAAAGCCTCTCTTATTATTTTAAAAACAGTTAATGAAATATTTTTGGTAGATTTGTTTTGTTTAATATGTACGCAACAATATTCCATATTTTCTGTATGAGATATTTAGAGTTTTTTTTTTTTAAGGAACGTGCTCTATTTTGTTCAAATATTCATTCACTTTTTTTTTTCAAGCCGACTTCAAAACACTATTTTAATTATTTCAAAAATATTTTTGTATTTTATTTTGGTTAACATAGAATCAAATACCTTACATCTATTAATGTTTAGATCAATTTTAAAAGATCCATCCATATTTTATATATTGAATTTATCGATCAATTTTAAAAAGATTCGTCCTCCAAATTTACAAATATTCGTGAATTTTTTTCAAACCCATTAATTATTTTGAAAATACTTTTGTATTTTATTTGGAATCAACAACATTCCATATTTTACGTACTAGAATTTTGCAGCTATTTATAAAAGATTTGTGCTCTAATTTTGAAAGGATTTGTGAACTTTTTTTTATCGAGGATTTTACGTACTAGAATTTCATAGCTATTTAACAAGGATTTGTGCTCTAATTTTGCAAAGATTTGGGAACTTTTTTTCTCGATAGAATTTTGCAGCTATTTAGAGAAGATTTGTGCTCTACTAATTTACAAAGATTTGTTAACGTTTTTTCTCGATATGGACGTGTATCTGTTAAAGTAAAAGTGTAGAAGTTGTATAAGATTGGGTCCTTTAAAATTGTTTGTACACAAACCTTATCAACACATATATTAATTTGAGCCGATTCCACCATCAAAATAAACTATTTTGAATTTCATAAAAATAACTCAACGTTAAAGAAATTAACGTTAATTTTGATGCAAAAATAATGTATATGTTAATTTAAAACTTATATGATCTTATTAATAGGTATCAATATTTATTTAAAAGCATTAAAAATTGTATAAGATGTTTTCTTTAATATTTTTTTATAAGCAAACCTTATCAACAATTTATGACAAAAATATCATTTTTATGATAAATATATTGAATTTTAAGAATAAATCGTATCACATAAATAAAATTTTGAAAATCTCATCGCATGTTGGTTTATTCCTGAAGAAGCCGGTGTTTAGTTATGGACAACCCCCCAACTGTACGTTGCAGTATCACGTGTCACCAATCGAAATGAGTTAAAAATACTAGGGGAATATATCTATTTAGAATTTCTAACAACTTTTAAAGACTTCAGAAATCCTGATGTATTTAATTTGAACTTTTTAAGACTTTTAAAAGTCCTGAGGTACTTAGTTAGGACTTTAAAAAGTCATACAAAATTCTGATTTATTTAACTTATTTGAGAGTTGAGACTATGATTTGTTAATGCTTTTTAAGATTTCCTGGGATTTATAAGGAAAAAAATATATACGAAATCCCACCTTTAGATTTAAGATTTCACAGGATTCCTCCAAAATTTGAAAATTTTACAAAATCTCAAAATGTCACTCGAAATCCCAAACGAATACACTTCCATTAGTTTTTTATAACGATGGTTCGCCAACAAATCAAACAAAAAATATTATATACAAGTTTGTTTTCAATAATTTATAGTTTTTGAGATTGTTGGCGAGCTATGTATTATTGTTCTACGTATCAACACTCTTTTTAATTTTTAGTATTTAAGATGTTAAACATTCTACTTAAATATGTCATCTCGTGCATCGCACGGGCCACTACTAGTATAAATAAAGTGCTATAAATTATTTGCATGCATATAATACTAAAATTATAAGATAGATAATGATATTATATTTTAAACATATAGTATTATGAGTTAAATTTATGCATATAATATTAAATTATATGATAGATAATGGTATTATATTTTAACATTTTGAACATTGGTTAAGAGAAATAGTACATAACAGTTTTTGATTGCATATGAAACGCTATATTAATTGCAAAAATGTAATAAATAATGTAATTTTTATAAATTTGAGGGATCATGACCAATTAATTAGCTGAAAAATATTTAATGTATTATACAATTGCTTAAGCGATTTTAACTAATTTTACTATGACATTAAAACAAACTAATTTTTTAAAAAAATAATCA